TTTCTACAATTTTTTCGCTACGTTATAGGAATTGTTGTTATTGGAACGTACGTTATAGGGGGTCGACTGTATTTGGTTACTAGTTTTTATTAATTTCTATACTTGAATAAATATATTTTTCAAAAATTAGTGTCAACAATAACATTTAATTTGCTACTTTACTTTTCTAAATAGTAGCAAATGAAGTTCTTATAACAATATTACCTAACATACTAAACTGCTTTGCAGTAATAGCTCACTTCTGTGTTCAAGTCTACTACATATCCTATCACTTAAGTCTATAAACATCAGCCAATATATAGTTTTTTTTTTTTTTTAAATCCTCAGTCAAAATTATTAAATTTGATTATGGCAGAGTACTATTGTATATCAGACTCACCATAAACAGTTTCAGGTTTACCCTGACAAAAAAACAGAAAAATACATAAAAATTCTTAATTGTGCACTAATTCCACACCAATTTTTAAAGTGCATAAAGTTTCACTGGCATCTTGTGCTCATTCTCATTCTGGAAAAGCATTACTGTCTCATTTCTTTGTTTCTCACTAAATGCAGGGACTTGTCACTGTTTGTCTGGATTTCTCACTTGTAACGTGTCATAACTGTGATACTGGATCTTCTCTTAGTTTCATTTATTCTAATTACTTTCACACACAACTCCAAGATGCCCTGATAGTGATGCCAGCAGCTCTGATAGTCTGAAGCTACAAAGCGCTAGTTTAGAGGAAAAATCAAGCAATGAGTAGCATAACTTTCCTGGCAATAACATTTAAAATTGTGGTGCTGCCAACTGTTATATTTTTGCCACACTTTCCCTCTGATATTTATAACAGCTGAGAAAATAAAAATAAAAATTTTAGATTTAGTAAGAAAGTCTGCTCCCAAAAATTCTAAAAAATTATTTTTATGATTTACAGTACAGTAATACCTTGACTTATGCAAACCCAGACTTACGCAATTTTCAAATCTTGTCGATTCGTCTTTTGTTTGAGCGCCACACAACTCTCGATTACTCACTCCTCTCACACTATTGTTCAGCTTACATGTTCGGACGTGTTGTGCAGAATCGACACATAGCTACAATTTATTTTGTATTGTTTATTTCTGTGTTTGTTATATCTACGGAGACTTTACAGACTATGTGGTGATTTCTTGTAACCATGAACGAATCAAAAGACGAGATAAGATTAACATTTATTAGCTTACATATTATAAGAACATTTATTAGCTTACATACAGCCAACTTGGATTTTACACAAATTGCGAAATTATAACCCGACTTAAGCAAATTCAACTTATGCGGTTATCGCTCGGTCCCACCTATTGTGTAAGTTTGGGGTATTACTGTATCATACTACTTATTATTAATAGTGTTTGCCTTATTTATACAGAGAGAAAAAAATTTATGATAGACGTGTTAGTATAAAAATATAATGGGGTTGGCTATTTTACTCAAATTTATGTTTTTGCAAGTGGTCTCCAAACATTGGTTTGGTATAGCAGGACTCTTTGTATTCAGTTTCCATTCTTTAATGTATTTGGTCTCCACAAATAATTAGCAGTATTTGTTAATAAGGTTCAAGCAACTGTCAGATATATTGGTATTACAACTTCTAATGGAAACAAAGTTTATCAGAGTATAACATCAATAATATTGCCAATTATTGAAACATTTCATGATTACCTTAATATTAGCATTTATTATGTAATAATTTAATATGCATAATGATACTTATTTTTCATTAAAATTTTTAAAAGCTATTCTTTTCATTCACAGAAGAGAATATTTTGAGTAATTCATTTGTTAATATCCTCAATAATTTATGAACTTAAAATAGAAAAGTGGCATAGTAACAACTTGCAGTAAATTATTATTCACTTTGCCAAAATGCTCAAACATTTCTCTTATAATTGGGTATTTTGAGACATCCTATAAAATTTTACCCCTTATAAAATATAGTTTGTTCAACACTGAATTAGGCAAGAAAAACAATAATACCAAAATTATTCCCAAGGAAATAGGCAAAGGTGACTAAATTTAAGATAAAAGACAGGATATGGTTGATTTTATTGGTCAAAATGGAAATCATTGTCAAATGTTTCAAAATTACCAAGGAAACATATATATCAGAATGGAAGCAAACATGAACCAAGAATAAATCCCAAATTTTCACAATTAGAAACATTGCATTCTTGATCTAAAGAACAAAATAATGTCTTCATCTTGGATTCCATTACAATATTGTTATCAATAGAACCATATCTTTTCAAAAAGTGCTATTATTCAATGACTCATTTTTGTGAGCATAGTTGACTATAAATTAATGAGAAAATGATGATTGAAAAATATAGTTGGATGTAAATGTGAATTTTTTTTTATAGCAAATTTGAGAAGTTGCAATAAGTTGTTATCTAATGATTGTTTTACTTTCTTGAAACCTATCTGAAACCTGAACTTTGAAACTTACCTGAAACGACAAAAATCTAATGGTTGTATTATTGGTGTTGTATTCTTTTGGAATGAATTTGACAGTAAATATTCTATGATTCACAACACAAATCGTGCTACTATTTTTAACACTTGGCGGATGAAAACCGTCAAGTGTTAAAAATAATAGCACGATTTGTGTTTGTGAATCATAGAAATTAAGAAAACACGGTTTCAGAAGATTGGTAAGTAAATATTCTCCAAATTAGAGTAGTATGAAAGATTGGTTTGTGTACTGAAATGATTGCAGTATCTCATGAAATAGACAGTAAAACTTTGATAGTATTTTCAACAAAATCTTTACATGCATGTCTAGGGTACCTGCCCAATTTTGAGCATTAATTTTTACATTAAGAAATAATAATTATAATGAATTATTAATCCTGTACTTTATCATCAAATTAATCTTTCATTTTTTGTCAGCAAATGTGTAAAAACATACCAGTTTCCATTTAATGATAAAATGAAAGTTGGAATATGCACACATATGCCCAAAGTGACATGACAGAAGAAATTATTTGGCAAACAACATACAATGCTACTTTTTAGCAGTTTAATATAATTATTGTGCTTTTCTCAATTGGCTTCTTTAAATTTCTTGCTGAAATTAAGTAATCATCAATAGTTTCTCTTAAATTTCTTGTCTACAATTTAAAATAAAATATAAAAAATTATATAATTTAATTATTTAAGGCTAGTTTGCATGATACTACAACTGCTGATACTGTCACGTGAAATTGTGACATGCATTAAATTGTTGCATTTGAATAAACTCTTATTGGCAACCTTAGTCTACAAGTCATGACTGTGTCATTGAAAATCTAATCTGTCAGATTTTTCATTCATTGTCAAACTAAATCAATAATGATATTGAAATCATGTATTATATTGCATTCTTATGCAATATAACATGTTATCAAAGGTAGTGTTTTCAAGAAAAACAAATGATCTTATACATGTTCAGTGTAACTCACAAGTTGTAATGCAAAATAACATGTAAACATCTGAATCTGTCATTTTTGAGTGTGACAAAACATCAACAGTTGTACTGTGTAAATCAACCTTTATGTTGCTATCAAAGGGTATAAAGTCTTGGAGTCTAGTATTGTCATGTAACTTCCTTCTTTAATTTCATATTTTATGTTACTACCTCACACAGTTAAATTCTATGTAAAATTGACAATAAATCCAGCACTTCTAGTGTTTTGGCCTAATTTCACATGAAAATATTGTCTCATGGCTCATTACTATAGAGAAGTTGCTCACAGCCATTTTAAACATTAGCAGTCAAAAGAACAAAACTGTCAAAACAATAGCTTCTCCTCCTCTGATATCTGCAATTTTACCCATGTTTTCATGACAAATAACGTCTAAAATAAAGTTTACTATTTAATTCTTACTGGCATTTGGTATCACTAATCATTGAAAATATTTTACAAAAATTCTTGAAATAAAAACAAAAATTGAATGTGGCACTAGCCAAGATGCAATGGTGCCATTCTTTCCAAAGTTTATATCTTTAGTTGTTAAATACATTTTTGATTGTAAAATACTTTTAAAAATCTTACCTTTCCATTTCATTTTAATAACCCATTCGTAAAAAAATATCAATTTCGCTTTTCTGTTATTAACTACAGCTTCGCCTTCGCAACTAGTGATTTCTGTAATTTCGCAGCAACCTGAAAATAAAAATGGCTCTGTATTAAAAGATCGACTTTAGTTTTCTTTAAATCGATTTATTAATTTATTTTGAAAGATATTTTAATTCTACTTGAACAAATTCACACACTTGTATTATTCAGCAGGAATTTTGTTTAAGCTTTCTGAAATGGGAAAATACTATTAAAACTTTGGCAAATTTTACCAGATTTAAAGTGAAGGCTGTGCCGTTTTACTTACCGATGTCGTCGTCCAGCTTTAAATTTAAGAAAAGCTCCGATATTTTGTCTTTAGACCACTGAGAGGCATTCTTTTCAGTCCTTGATATTTTAAAATAAAAAATATATTAATAAAATGGCTGCAAAAAAAAAACTGTATACAATTTATTTAAAATAAAGACATTTATTGTTGCTGATTATATAAATATAAGTATTACAATAATTATCTAAAATTACAGTTTGAGTGTTTGAATGAAGTAATCAGAAATACAAAAGACTAACATGGATTCAAACTTAAATAATTAATTATTATTAATAGTAGTAATATGAAGTGTAATAAACATCATATTTTTATTTGTAACAACAAAACAACAAAGTTATCTAATCATAAATTAATTGTCCAGAAGCCTCAAAATGATTACTTGTTTGTCATCTGATAATTTGACAATTATTAATTTCTAATTGTTATACATTTCTCAAATGCAAAATGCTTTTGAATTTTCAAATCCTATATTAGACACAAATGCTTTGTTGGTTTTTGGTTGAGAGTTCTTTCACCTTCATACTGAACTTTAAAACATATTTGCAAACCGAATTGGTGTCCAGTGACAAATTTCAAGGGTTAACAAATGCTTTCAGGTTCCTGAGTATTGCTTAAGGTTTTCTGCACACTTATCAGACTTTTGGTCAAATTCAAATTGCTACATTGCCAATAGACCTGTGATAAAATCAAATATACATCATTACATAAACTAAAGTGCCAAAAAATTACACACATCTACCTAATAATGTGTAGCTCCTCCCTGAGCCTGAATAATAGTGGCTACACGACATAGCATAAATTATGAGGTGTCAGTTGTTGCACAGGTGTAACACCTGTGCAACAACTGGCACAGGTAACAATCCTGTGTAACAAACCTGTGTAACAAACCTGTGTAACAATCCAGACACATTCAAAGGTTCTCCATAATTCAGCTACATCTGTTGGTTAGTTCTGCAAGGCATTGCGTAACATTTGCAAAGTGTCCAGTAAATGCTCTATGGGGTTAAAGTCTGGTGACCAAGGCAGCCAAGGGAATAGCTGAAAATCCGTTAAGTGTTCTCGAACTATTGTTGTGCCACCCATGCCCTGTGGGCAGTAGCATTATCCTGCTGGTACAACTCATTACCGTCAAGAGAACATAGCAAGCATAAAGGAGTGCAAAACACCTGTCACAAAATTAGTATATGTCACACTTGTCAAAGTTAACTGCAATCTCACCATTAGTCTCTGTTCATACCAATAGAACACACTCCAGACCATGACAGAGCCACAACCAGCATTCACTACACCTTGATGACCTGATGGATTTATGGCTTCGCGTGGTTTTTGCTATACATGAACATGACTATCATCTTGAAAGAGCTGAAAACAAAATTCGTCTGACCACAACACTACATCAGTCATCCACCAACCAATTTCCAATGTTCTTTGTCCTAGGTGAGGTGTCTGACACCTGAATGTTAATAGTGATACCAGAGTGGGCTGGCGATTACCAAACCTATCAGTCAATGCACTGTATATTGTACAGTGCATTGACTGATGCATTCAGCAGTACCCCTGTTGAAGTCTGATGTGATTTGGCACTGAGTTGCCCTTGATTGCATGGTTACTAACCTGATTAGCCTCCAACAGTCATGTTCTTGCATTAACTATGGGCACCCAAACTGTGCATGTGTTGCTGATGTCTATCTGGAATTTAGATATTTCTGTTAAGTAATTGACACTATTGCATGAGAAAATCCAAGAGCATTGGCTGCCTCTCGATAGAGTGACCCATTCCTCTTGCTCCAATAATCTGTCCATGATCAAATGGCAATAAATCCTTTACACAGTCCATTGTACTCTAACCAAGCTCTCACATAGCTTGTAAGTATTGTACCTATGATGTTAAATGTAAATGTTTCAACTCAAAGCATTTCTCCTGTAGGTAGAAGGTAAGAACATTGCACATGCTGCTGTTTCTAATTTTTTGGCACTTAAGTTTAATTGGGATGGTGTGTTAGATTGCTTGCCATGCATGTGAAATTTGTTTTTCTTCCTTGTAATTAATGCATATCCCCCACTTGTCAACATTAAATTTCCAGGGCTTCTATATATCTGATACCTTTTCCATGCCAAGGTGTACATATCAGTATTGCTTAATTTAACAAAGACAAAGGAAAAAACCAACAGGCACACTAAACTTGGTGCTGTGGAGCAAGAAATAACTAAAAGTTAATACGTAATACAATTTTAATGTTATACAGAATCAAAATCCAAAGTTTTGACAAAAAAAACCAAGAAACTACCAGCAGTAAAGATGGATTTCTGGAGATCTGCAGGGAAATCAAGCTGGAAATTGTTAGAAACATAAAGATATGGAAAAAACTATATTAAATGAAGTAAACACAAACATCAAAATGGCATGGACACATGTCAAGAATGGCAATCAATAGACTAACAAACCACACTCCAGACAGGATTCTTCTCAAATGGAGAAAGGGTAAACCTGAAAAGAATTTGACAGATAATGTAGAATATAAAATGAGGAATTAAGAACTGATGATCTTCTCACCCATTTTGTCAAGGATAAACATTTAAAAAAATGGAAATATCCTAAAGAAGAAAAATTACTATACATATATAACATAACATTTCTTTTAGTACATGTTATTGTAATTTTCTATTTTAAAAAAAATGAATGACTATTTTCACACATTAAAAAATACATAGAAGAGACTAAAATGTCTATTTTTCAGCATGTCCAACCACCAGGAACAATACCTCGTAGTCTTCCACCGGAGAGAAAACCTTTCATTAGATGCTACCACCTCTAGAAAAATATACAAAACAGCTTAAAAATTTCACCAGTGACAAGCCAATAATTAAAAATACATTAGTTTCTTTTAAAAACTGTTGTTCCTGGTATTTGGACATGACAAAAAAATAAAGACATTCCAGTCTCTTCTATGTATTTTTTAATGTGTAATTTGAAGAGGACAGTTATGTATTGTCAAAAGTATTTGTAAAATAAATATTTTTCGGTAATGCCAATAGACAGTTTTGTGACTTAGTAAAGTATGCATTACTGAAAGCTAATTCAAGTTTTTTACTTAAAATCTGAATTCTTAGTATAAAACAATTACTAAATATTTCTCAAATCAAAATAAATCAAATGCAAGAGAAAAATGTAAATACAGTAAAATTACATTATACAATTTAAAATTTTTAAAGCTGGAACTACTGAATAAATGGAAACAAACTGATCTTTCACACATTTCCAGCAGTGACAGAATTGTAAAAGAAAATTTTCGGCCACATTTAATGACTAGCACCAGGCTTCTATAGAAGACTCTTGGAATTTGGAACATAAAAAAAAGTTCTGGAATGAAAATCTTAAAATAAGCAGTCCGTCTTTTTTTTTAATATCACTACATTACCACCAATTGATATCCCACAATAATTTCTTAGAAAATGTAAATGTTTGCATTTTCTTTTACAATGATTTCAATACTAGAAACAAACAAAAGGTCAATTTGTCATTGCAATCCAATTTGTCAACAAAGCAAATAGGCCATCATTGATTTCTAATGAGCGTGTTTAACGTATATAAAACTGTACAAGAAAAGAAACATGCAATTATATTGTTTAAATTTCAGAATTACACTGTTTTGTATAAAACTTTTCACTTCTGAAGCTTTTTTTGAGAAATATGCACAAAGACACTTGTAATGCTTAATTGAAAACATTTTTGTTTCAAAATAATTTATTTATAGATTAACAACTTTTAATAATGGAATTCTGATGCTGTTAGATCTCTAAGTAACTTTCATAAAATAGCTTATGAACTAGCTTTAAAATTAAAAATAGATTTTATTTCCTGTTATGTTATTACAAGAAATTAACTATGTTATCAAAATATCAAACAGTTACTTTGAGATAATTAATTAAAGAAGGTTGGAAAAAAAAAACATTTATAAAATTGATTTTTCATTAAAATACATACATACAAGAAATATATACTAAACTTTAACAATATTTAAGTCTATTACTACTTTTTTATCTTTGAGTTTTTATATTTTACAATAAGAATCTTATAAGATCAAATTTTTTAGCTTAATTCATTTATTTACTTTGAATATGACAAGTAAAGTCATCATTGACTTATGATATTCATTTCTAGTTCAGATATTCAGTTTATAAGCTTTAAAAGACTGATGATATTGGACAATCTTTGTAAGAGAATTAAAAAAAAAGTAATCAAAGGGCAGCAAGGAGTTTTTAATAAGATATACTAAGAATGGAATCAAGATGTGTGAAGAATGTTAGAAGAGTACAGTTTGTTAAAGCGAAAATTAACAAAACTGTGTTTGCAGAGAGTGATCAATAGTTCAATAGAATATTGATTTCCTTGTGCATAGAATAGCCGCTTGATAGCTACAGACTTTAAAGTGAAGACACAAAAGAATTGGTTGAATACATAGGAATGTAGAAAGATGCAAAGGTTTGTTAGGAAGAAATGTTAAGAAATTGGAAAATGACAAATTAGAAGAAATAACCAATTACAGAACAGCTGATAAATTTAATCACCCAGAAATAACCAATTACAGAACAGCTGATAAATTTAATCACCCAGAAAAATTTAAGTCAATGGGAATTATTAAACAAAATAATTTACTACTACTACTAAACTGTGTTAATAAGACAATTTGAAATGTTTCTACTAGCCAAAAATGATAATGCCAGTGAATAAAATTTCAAGAAACAGTTATGACTTTTGTTTACTCCTTTTACAATAAATATCTATCAATCAGTATACCACTAAAGAAATTAAAAAGGAGAGTGAAGCAAGCAGAAATTGGATTGAGCAAAGTAAATGGGTACGGAGGTTAGGTTAAACAAAGGGCGTGTTCTTTTATTCCTCCGCATAACTCTGTGAGCAGCATCTGTTTAAAAATTCCTGCAGATTGCTGACCAAAGTGCATCCAATTGGACGGCAAAAATGGCCACTTGTAGCAGCAGCAGCAGTTTAAGGTGGAAAGCAACACAGCATCCTCCATGGTTCAGATAGATTCATTTC